ATCCAAACAGAGACGCAGGAGGGGGACTAGGGACCTAGCATGTGCCAGGGACTGTGCTAGGTGTGGAGTCCCTCATGTAGTTCAGGGCATCTAATCCCTGCAGCATCCCTAAGTAGGGCAGCCTTTCCCACTGCATGCTCCATGTAGCAAGAGCCCATTCCTTGACTTGTTCATTCAACCCATGTTTTCTGTGCTTTCTCTATGTAGCGGGCATGGGTCCAGGTAACAATAAAAGCAAATATTTATATAGGACCTATTATTTGCCAGACACTGCTTGAAACATGTTCATTTAATCACAATAACTTTCTAAAGATGATACTATCCTATATTATCATCCCAGTGTTATAGATGAGAAGGGCTCAGTTAATGCCCAAAGTCCCTGATAACACCCTCTTCCTAGTGTCCATGCCCTGAGTGGCCTCTCTCTTTGAGTGTGGGCTGGCCTCGTGACTAATTCTAACCAATATATACTGACATGGCAATGGTGGCAAACTGTCACTTCTGCAGTTAGGACACATAAGGCTGTGACTTCCACCTTGCTAGCAGATTTACTTTCTTTCTGGCTTTGATGAAGCAGGCCATGGAATTGGGAAGGCCCATGCAGCAGGGAACTAAGAGTTGTCTCCAGCCAACAGTCCACAGTCAACTCAGTCCTGCCAACAATCCCGTGGGCTTGGAAGCCCAGATCCTTCCCCGGCAGAGACTTCAGATGAGACCCTAACCCTAATCAACTGCTTGATCAAAGCCTCATGAGAGATACTGAAGCAATGACTCAGCTTAGCTCTCCCCAGGTTCCAGACCCACCGCAACTGTGAAATAATAAATATGCATTGTGTATAGCCACTATGTTTGTGCTCACTTGTTACCCAGCAGTAAATAGCTAATACAACTAGTAATGGACAAAGGTAGGGCTCATATGCAGATGATCTGGCTCCCAAGTCTGTGTCTTTAACCACTACACTACATCACCTCTCATGTCTAAGTGGAAATTCCATTTTTTTTTTTAAGTGGCAATGTAAGTTTAGAAATGTTGAATCTTACACCTCCATCTTGAAGATTTGGATTGCAAGGGGAGAAGTCCCTGAGTGAAGTGTCTATCTTTGCCTGGCCCAGTCCTACATTGCCTATAACTTTCCTGATTCCATAACTCTCTGTTCACATGACACCTGTGGCATCCCACCAAACGAGGACTACATAGAAGGAATTGTAGAAATGCTGAGACAGGCATAATCCCCTTATTTTATAGATGAGGAAACTGAGACTCGGAGAGGTTAAATAATTGTCAGAACCGCCCATGAAGATGGTGAGCCCAAATCTGCAATCTAATTAGAAGACACGTGCTTTTCCCATGAATCTGTCCAGAAAAGGGAAGGGTGGTGGGGCAGGGATGTGGCGGGGGAGTGGAGATGAAGGAGCCTGAAGCAAGCATCAGTCGACTAACCACCAGGCACTTTTCCAACCTCAGCCAGCCTCACCCCTGGAAACCCTTGCCGCCCAGGTGACATCACCTGCACACTGAGAAAGAAGGAGGACTCATCTGCTGGGGCCACACCTGCAAACTGTGTTGAGAAAGGACAGGTACAGAAGTGCACCTGTGAACAAGTGAAAGCACATCCTGGGACCTGTGTCAAGGGCACATGCAAGGCTAACTCTCCTAATGGCTGGTTTTGCTGGGACAAACAGGTTTCAAGGCCCTCAAAGTTCTGCACTTAAGTAACCTAGAGACCTGCTGTCTTCTTAGGCCAGGTGGCCAGGTGGAATCATTCCCTGTTTGAGGGAGTGTAGCATTATCACGCCTAATTAGCTCACCTTTTGCACAGACCTCTGAAAAAATGATGATAAAGAGGGAGGAATATTGGCAAGTGGCCTACACTATTCCATTTAGATACTGGACAAACAGGCAGTGCCTGTCGCTCAGAGGGTAGGGCTCTGGCCCTGTATATCAAGGGTGGTGGGTTCAAACCCGGCCCTGGCCAAATTGCAACAAAAAAATAGCCAGACATTGTGGTGGGCACTTGTAGTCCCAGCTACTTGGGAGGCT